ATTATACATACACACAAGAGCCACTGAGTATTGGGTTATATTAACTTGCCTATATATCCCAGAAGGTTAGATTTTGCTTTGCCCAGTTGATCAGGAAAGTCATCACACAGTTTTATTAATGTATCCCAATTGACATTTCTATCAGCATCAAACCACCTCTGGAATACGAAATTAAGATTGGTACTTGCTGCTCCTGGTATTGGCATCAGATCAGACACATTTACATTCAATCCATTCCCTATTAACATGTAATGGTGAGCAGAAGAACCAAATATCTTCATGACAGCTCCCGAATCAGGAGTATGCTCCTTGGCTAATTTGATAAATATATTTACAAAGAGTAACTACTCTACCATCAACTGTGGTTTACCTGTAATGGGACCAGGATTATGTTGAGCATGTTAAATGGACCCATCACTTTGCTCTGGAATCTTAAACTCTACAGAATGTCAAGATTTTGTATCTTAAACATTTGAGATATCAAATGGAATTTAAATTGGCTTAGGAAATACCTTTGGCAATTTTTGTTCCAAGGTCCTTATCTATTATTCTTACAGCATCACAGAGCCACCTTACATTAGCTTTAACTCCATCATCATACACTTCAGTATTTCCTTGTAACCACATGTACACGGCAGTGTTTAGTCCATCCCATAATGAGTTGTTTCTGTTATCGTAGCCTATGTTTCCTATTCTACCCTGAGGGATACAGAATTGTACAGCCAATTCTTTATATTTTGGAGCTATATCTTTGTCAATGAGTCCCATAATGGTACCATGATCACCTTTATATAAAACAAAGAGTTTTAGTGCCAGCTGTATAAAAATCAAGTTATTTATATACTTTTAGTTAGTTCTCTTTTAACAAAAGGATCTTGTGGATTCTACTCACTGTAGTTTACTAAATGATACAAAAGGATGTAGCTATACAAGTACAAGCTTTAAAATGATACCTGAAGCAGACATTCTTGAGAGAGAGGGGGGACTGTGAATTGAATGATAGCTTGAGAAAGAGAGAGTTTGGTCCTGAAATCCTGACTCGTCCCTAATACAGAAAGAAATTCTGAAAGTCACATGTACAATGTACATGTTACTGTACATGAATACAGCTAACAGCTACTGTAATAATCTCCATTGATCTTGTTCACACTAGCATAGCAGGCTAGCAGCTGAATTATGCTTGTTGCCCATTGGTTTACATTGATCTCACTGCATCACTTCACATCACCTGTATCATTAAATTTTAATAATATTTTCCTGATATTATTGTTATTACTTGATGTGTTTTTCTTGCAGGACAGTTGGATATTGTTCAAGAGTCTTTATGACTGCTGGTGTCACAATGCCATAGCTACAGTGGCTCTGTGTCTACTGTCACAGAATTATCAACACGCAGCTAATATAGTAGCTAAATTGTAAGTATTAATAATAATGGTAATTGTTTTCATTTCTTGTTATTTAGTGGTGAAATTGAGATCACTTCAGAAGTGCTGCAAGAAACTGACAGACTAGTCCAATTAATAGAATCACCAATATTTACCTGTGAGTGTACACACTTTGTCTCTGGTTTTTATTACATTTCCTAATACATATTGATGTCCTTATGCTGTGTAGAAAGTTTGAGCTAATTCCAACTTAAATTTTTTGAGTTATGACCATTAAAAAAAAAAACTCTAAATTGCAGAAAAGTATACCCAAGGCTATAGCCCATGGTTTTTTCTAAAAAATGGCTCCAAAATTACCCCCAATTTTTATTAAATTTTCTGATACATATTGATGTACTTATGCTGTGTAGCAAGTTTGAGCTGATTCCGACTTAATTTTTTCAAGTTACGACCATTTTAAGAAAACGCCAAAATTCTGAAAATACCCAAAGCTATAGCCCATGGTTTTTTTCAAAATATGGCTCCAAAATCACCCCAAATTTTTATTACATTTTCTGATACATATTGATGTACTTATGCTGTGTAGAAAGTTTGAGCTAATTCCGACTTAATTTTTTCAAGTTACGGCCATTTTAAGAAAACGTCAAAATTTTGAAAAATACCTAAGGCTATAGCCCATGGTTTTTTCAAAAATGGTCCGAAAATCACCCCTAATTTTTATTACATTTCCTGATACATATTGATGTACTTATGCTGTGTAGCAAGTTTGAGCTGATTCCGACTTAATTTTTTCAAGTTACGACAATTTTAAGAAAATGCCAAAATTCTGAAAACTTCCCAAGGCTATAGCCCATGGTTTTTTCAGAAAAATGGCTCCGAAATCACCCCAAATTTTTATTACATTTTCTAATACATATTGATGTCCTTATGCTGTGTTGAAAGTTTGAAGCTGATTCCGACTTCAATTTT